CAGATGTCCTAGCCAAATTCAAGGTGGGTCAAGTCTGCCAAACCTATCAAAAGGAAAAAACGGCTTCTTCTGTTGCCCTGATTGGAATCTGAAGAGGTCACTCTTGAAATTCTTGTGTAGTACCATCAGTCAATATGGTTTCCCTTAAAAGTGCATTGTAGCTCAAATGCTGATTTAAAGCATATGGATTCTTTGAGTTCTATCTACATGGGAAACATACACTACACATATTAAAAATATGTAAGATGCTAAAATAACTTAAAGCCTCCCTAAATAAAATTTTTTCAAAAAATAATCTCATATCCAGGGTGATCCTGCCACTGCTTTCCAATTAAGATTTAGGAGACCTCCCTAGCCAGTTTGGCTCAGTGGACAGAGTGTTGGCCTGCGGATTGAAGAGTCCTGGGTTCATTTCTGGTCAAGGGCACATGCCCGGGTTGCAGGCTCGATCCCCAGTGTGAGGCGTGCAGGAGGCAGCCAATCAATGATTCTCTCTCATCATTGATGTTTCTCTCTCTCTCTCTCCCTCTCCCTCTCCCTCTCCCTTCCTCTCTGAAATCAATAAAAATATATTTTAAAAAAAAGATTTAGGAGACCAACATGAAGATTTATATTTAACATAAATTTTGAACCAGGAAACTTTTGAGACTGAAAAAGGAAGACTTGGTAGCCAGGAGCACAATTCCAGGAAAAAGCTATATGTACGTGCAAATATCAGTTACAAGGCCTCCCAGGGTTGAGCAAAGATCCTGCACACAAATAGGAGAAAGCATACACCCAAAAGCAAGTCTGAACATCAAGTACTGGAGATTCCACTGCCAACATATTCTGTGCAAGGCTTAGCATAACATGAACTCGAGTTCAATTTCTAGCTCTGTATTCATTGGCTATATGACCTTTTAGTAAGTTAGTAAAATCCTTTGAACCTCAGTTTTCTTATCTTTAACTCTTCATCAAAATCATGGCATGATTCTGTACCTTTCACTATATTAATAAATACTATTCAGAACTACAACCAATATGATGTTATCTGCCCCCTCCCACGCCTCCACCTCAAGACCTTTGCACTTGCTGTTCCCTCTTCTTAGTGTGCTCTTCCCTTTTGGATCTATATTCCGCACTTCCTCCAGATTCCTACTCAAAAGTCACATTCTCAACAAGTTTTCCTCTGACCACCCTATCTAAAACTTCTATTACCCTAATTTTTCTCCCCAAAACTTAATATTCCCCCCTCCCTGTTTTCTTACCATGTAACACCACTATGAATTTTGCTAATATGGTTATTGTCTGCCTCCCCTACTTGAAGGGGGAGTTCAAAGAGAACAGGGATTTCTGTCTGTTTTATTCACTGCTGCATCACCAGTTCCCAGAACGGCATCTGGCACACAGTAGGTGCTCAATAAAAAATCTGTTGAGGAAGAGAATTAATGACAGCTTACAGACAGGTAAACCTTAGCCCCTCAAGCTGCCTTTGGGGAGAATATCACAACACTTCAAAAATACTATAAAGCTGCCCTAGCCGGTGTGGCTCAGTGGATAGAGCGTCGGCCTGCGGACTGTAAGGTCCTGGGTTCGATTCCGGTCAGGGGCACATGCCAGGGTTGTGGGCTCCATCTCCAGTAGGGGGTGTGCAGGAGGCAGTCGATCCATGGTTCTCTCTCATCATTGATGTTTCTATCTCTCCCTCTTCCTTCCTCTCTGAAATCAATTAAAATATATATATATTTTTAAAAAATACTGTAAAGGAGAACAACAACAGGCTTGCAAGGAATAACACTGTCCATTCTTTTATCATAGAGAAAAAGACACTCTACCTCCCATCTCTCCTATACAAGGAAGAGATTAAAGAAGCCAGTAATTTGGATAAAATGGGACGCTATATGCAGTGAAGTTAACTTTAGCTAACACTACACAGATAAGATTTTCTTTTAATGTTAATAGATATTAAGCCATTTTTCTCTGATTTTACGACACCACCTTCTGGGTATGTTTTTTTTCTCTTTAGCTTTGACTTCTATAGAACCAGTCTTGAAACTTACGGACTTCATATTTTCAATTAATTAAATAACAAATATTTACTGAACACATGGGACTCTGCAAAATCCTGTAGAGCAGTGGTTCTCAACCTTCCTGATGCCACCCACGACCCTTTAATACAGTTCCTCATGTTGTGGTGACCCCCAAACATAAAAGTATTTTCGTTGCTACTTCATAACTGTAATGTTGCTACTGTTATGAATCGTCATGTAAATATCTGATATGCTGGATGTATTTAAGTAACCCCTGTGAAAGGTTGAGAACTGCTGCTGTAGAGGATACTATGAAGTGAAATATTTTTGGTGGCAAGGACCTTATACAGGGCAAGGACCACACACACACACACACACACACACACACAGGAGACACACACACGGAAGACCAGAACTCTATCTGCAAATGAAGAAGTTCAGGCAGCCAACATGTGATGAATTCAAAGATGCCTATCTTTGTATGGAGTATAAGAGGACCAATTCATCTCTTACACGCCATCCACTAAGCCTAGAATACCAACAGAGACAACACTTAAAAAGCAAGAGTCAAACATGACTGAAGTTAAGTTCACATGCATTTATGGGTCACCTGGGATGCCACAGACTCGGTATCAAACACTGGGTAAAAAAAATAAAATAAAATAAAAATTTAACTACAAATAAGGGCACGAAATTCTAAACTTATAAAGAACACAAACCAGATGGGCCTATGTTGTGGTTAGGCGCAGGTAGGAGCTTAAGCAATTGCTAAGAAAGCAGAGAAGGTGGTGGTGATCTTTCATCTTCGGACGGAATACCTGCAGGTTTCCACCCGGTTTTAGTCTTGTGCGTTTCTTCTAAACTTATAAAGAACACAAACCAGATGGGCTTAGGTTGTGCTTAGGCGCAGGTAGGAGCTTAAGCAATTGCTAAAAAAGCAGAGAAGGTGGTGGTGATCTTTCATTTTCGGACGGAATACCTGCAGGTTTCCACCCAGAAAACATCCAAAAGGCTTGCCCCGAGCCTCACCCCAAGAAGCCCTCAATAAACGTCATGATTATTTTCAGGGGGTGAAAATGCCCCCACGGCTGGGAGCAATGTACCTGAGGATTCCTGCAATAAGAGGTTATCATTAAAGCCAAAGTGAAACACTAGGATCCTGAATGTCAACTGTCATTGAAAAAAAAAAAATTAAAAGCCAAAAAGTCAAAGGCTTTGGTGTCTCGACTTGTAGACACTATAAGCAACAGGAATGACGATAATAACAGGGCAACACCAACCAGACTCATAACCCGCACAGCGGCAGCAACGGGACCCCTGACGGACACCGTCCTAACCGAAACGGGCAGGCAAGGCTGCTGAATCCAAAAAAAAAAAAAAAAAAAATTGCAGAATTTTTTTTCCACCCTCGTCTTTTATTTTAAAAGAAAAAAATGCGGTAATTGGTGCCCAAGTTTTGCTAAAAACAGACATCTCAAAGGACTGCAGATTTAACGTGTCATTTCTCCCTGCGGGAGGTGGGGCCGCGGCGGGAGGGGGGCACCGAAGGCTCGGCCTTGGAAATAACCTGGAAACAAGTGACATCTGCCTTCCGGGCCAGTCCGCGTCCAGGCACAAGGTTCGGGTGCCGGAGCCGCGGTGCGATCCG